GAACCACTCCGCTACCGCTGTCACCCTGCAATTCCAAAAAATTAAAATGACCATACTATTTTTAATTAATTAGATTGGCATCTTACGCATTAGATCGCATAAAACATTGACATACTTAATTAGTAGCATTACAACGACGTAGCATTACTTTGAAGAACAATTGTAGCGATAAAGAAAATAATGGAATCTATCTAATTTTATTGTTACATGATAAAATAAGAATTCTGCTTTGAAAAATAGTGTTATTATAGACATGAATTAATCGTGATGTACATTATCTTAAATAGGATACAATATTATAAGATGGATGATATAACTCAATTAAATAAGAGTAATTTTAAAATATATTAAAAACCTATGCACATATAAAAGGAAATAATATAATAGAGAACGTTAAATCTAAAGAAAATGTGCAACAATGAAATTATATTAATGTTGTGATAGGATGGATTACATACATTGCACGCTCCAGTTCCGGATCTGATGAGAGTGCAGAACTCTTTCTCGTTAATGGACATAATCCTTTGATGATAAGGTCGACAGACGTTAGGAGGCATAACGACAGCTGTCAATTGTCGCAAATCGTCATGTACGTTTTGTCTGTAGCCTGTAGAACCCCAAGCTGTTATTTTCACTGGATCATTCTGCGCCGCACGCCTCGTTGTTACGACAAACCCTGGCTTGCCTTGCATTGAACTGAATGGGAGTCGCTAACTAAAAACATTTTATAATAATAAGTCAGATTGAAATAATTAATTAGAGTAAATATGTATAGAGAGAGAATATATATAAAGTATATAATATAATAAATAGAGTATAATAAATTATAAATAATAGACTATAATAAATTAGAATCATTTAACAATTCTGTATTATTGATATGATGAGTAGAAATATAACTAACGTGTGCATTACAAATTTACCAAATGTAAATATGTAACAAGTAGTATAATATATATGCAACTTTAAGATTGTACCTCAATCAAACCAATGTCATAGCCATCCATAGTTCTTGCGTTATAATTTTCGTGAAGGACCAATCCTTTTAATTTTAAAGATTGTCCACCTGAACTGAGCCGAGATGTGCCAGTAACAACGACTGCAGAAGGCAATCTATAGGGATTTAAACCGTCTACGCAATGTCCGGCAGTTAGGATGTAACGGTCAGAGATTATGCTACCACCACAAAAGTGACTGCCTCTGACTTGAATGGAAACACATTGCGGATTATCTTCTATATTGACGGGATATCCATTTACTAATTTCTCTGGATCCTCTCCATAAACACCTGTGAAGTGCCTTCATGTTATGAATACATGATGAAAATAGTTTTCGTACAAAGTTATTCGTATCATGTCTAACAATCTTTTTAAAAGTACTTTGATGACACAATAAATCTTGACTATAAAATTGTGGAAATTGTAGATCATATCAAGATATTGTTACCAATCATTAAGACTAAATTGTTTACATATTTCATATTGTTTACAAAAAATTTTAGCTAATCTTATTTTTTTAAATTTATTCAATTTTATGTCTTTTTCGTAACATATTCTTATAGAGGTAGAATTTGTTTCAAATTTTATAAAATTAATACAATAATAGAAATAATATTATAGAATATAGAAATATAATAAGAACAATATAGTATAATACAGAAATATAATAAAATAATAGGAATATATAGGAATATAACAAGAATAGCGCTTGATAAGATTAAATATATCATAAATGTATTACAAATTATGAAATTTAAATATATATGCATAAAATTCAAAATATTTTACATTATGCTTTTATATATAAATTAATAAAATGTAATTTAACTAATTGTACACGATTTATTACTAACTTATGTGTTATTAAATTGTTTAATAAAGTTAACTTACCCACGATCGCTAATGCGATCAAAATACACGCCAATTGTTTCATTGCGTAGCTATCTGTTTCCACACCGTGTCTGACGAATTTTAAAAAAACACAGTGATAGCAAATGGATTTGGTATAATTTATATACATATCGCAATATTTACACAGGTGTATATTAACAATATACCGTCTAATTTTTATCTTGATGAGATTATCTCAGAGATCGCAATTAAATGATGTTGACTTAAAAAGTGATATTACGATATCGTTACATCTCTTTTTAATTAAAAAAACACACATTGTGTTATAAATAATACTGTTAAACAAAAACGTAAATGTTCATCAAAGTAATTTGGATCCTCACAAATGTAATAATTAGATCTTAATAGCATAAATGAAATATTAATAATCTAAGCAACCTCGATAGCCAAACCTGAAAGGACAGATTATGCGCAAAGTCTGTTATAAATTTCTGCTGTTATAAAGCTAAACAGATTGCTAACAGATTCTGTAATGTCTGCAACAATGTTAGCAATCTGCTGCCAGAAACCTGACAGAATCTGTTGACATTCTGTGCCAGCAGATTGATAGCAGAAATCGAGCAGACCCTGCTGCAGTCTGCTGTCAAATTGGCGGCAGAAAGCGAACAGGACCTGCGCGACACAATTTGATGGCAGGATCTGCTCAATTTCTGCTGTCAATCTGCTGTCACAGAATGTCAACAGGTTTTATCAACAGAATGTAAGCAGAATGAGATCTCAGATGAAGTCAGTTTGCTAACATTTTCTGATTAAATCTGTTGCCAGTTTGCTAACATTTTGCTAACATTTTGCTGACTGGGAAGTTACGTAGCTATTAAATGCATTACATATTAAGTCCATAAAAGTTTATAAGACAAATGTAAATTTGATATGGTCTTTTATCTTTATGATAGACTTAAATTTATGAAATTAACATCTTAAATCAATGATATTTGTTATATGTAACTTATAGATTTTCCAAAATAAAAATAGAATTACAAATAAAAAAGAATCTCAAGAACATAAAATACATCCAACTATTGTTGAGAACTTGAATATTATAGACCTATTTTATATTATCATTATATATCGTTTTTTATCATGTCTTTCTTTCTATACTGTCTTCAGCCATCATACTTATAGCTAGTATAAAATCTTTAAAATAATAATAAAATATGTATTATTGGAATATATAAAATTAAGATTAAAAACAGAATAGAACGCAAGACCAGATATAAAATTAATCTAATATAATACAGAGAATATTCACGAAATTCTCTTTCTTCTTATATCTATTTTAAAAATTAAGAATTCCTGTATATATGACATCTATTTTTTTCTACCATACAACGAATTTCATTATTGTTGTCACTAAGAAAATGTGTTGTATATTGTCTATTATCCACATCATGTTACTTCAAGTTCTTAGGAAATGTTGCAGAAATCGCATCAATAAAAAACAGGATAAACATCGAACTTGATTTGATAATGAAATGAAATGAAATCTTGATGAAAATGAAACTACTGTTGTAAGTTTTCAATTGTTATTGTTATTACAGTTTTCAAGGCCTACTTGTATTTAAACGGCACAAGGCCATTGAATTCTTAAAAACATTGATGATGTGAAAAAGATCTAAACGAGCACAGGAGTAAATATTACCTCATGTGGATCTCTTAGAAAATTTGATTGTTTTCAATGATTATCTTGAAAATTCTACTATTAATTAATTTATTTGAATTGAATCGATTATCTAATTTCTTCCACAATATGATCACTAGTTTCATTATTATTATTATTAATAAAAGTCAATTGTCTACTGTTATGACATGTCACCTCAAGTTCTTATCAGCGAGTGCATTATGGAAATCATTTCGACAAAAATAAACAGAAGCAATGATAATGACGCATGTAAGTCCGATAAAAATCTGTCAAAGCTATTTTCGAACATTTCACTGTATACGAAGAATATTTAATGCAAAACAATTTAACTTAGTTGCCGATTCAAAATCTACCTTCCGTCATTCAATTAGCATTATCTAATGATAATAATTTATTTTTTAATCTTATTTATGTATAGAAAAACTAAAAGATTGTTATCATACATATAAGATTAAAGAATAAATTGTTTGAAGCGTGATATTTATATAAGAATGTATCTTATCAGCAGCAGAAGTTAATTAGAAGTTAATTTAAGTTAAATGTGGAAGGTAAGGATATAATAATTTATTAGAATATTAGATGTCTAAGATTTTATCTACAGCAATGCTGAAGAATGCACAATTCATAAAATTGTACTTTATACCCTTTACACCCTACTCTCGGATGTATTTAATTAATGGCAGTTTTTTATATGGATCGACGATGAAAATATTGCATGTAAAGTTCAGTAATGTGAGCAATATTTATTATTCTTATTTTCGCATTACATTATTAAGTAAGCTCATATTACATAAGTTTTTATAATGTATAATTTTCAGAAAAAGCATCCAAATTGCTGAAAAAAGGGCAGTAACGGTTAATTATCTAAAAATTTATGCCGGTTTTAATAATATCATTTTATTCTGCAGAATCTTATAATCCCTTAAAATCTCGTATTTTATATTTATCGTTTCAATTGCATTTTAATTTTTTATTAATTTGTTTTGATATTTGTTACTTTAAAATTTATTCTATAATGAAAAACTTATAAAACGCAATACTTAGTTAAATATGTCAATCAGATCACTCGCAAGCTTTGCAAAATCACAATTCTATACAATTCACATGACACGATGGATTAAACAAGAATGCAAGAGTCTCATACAATATTATCTAATATAATTTTTAATATCTTAAATAGATCTTGAATTGTTAATATACAGCATAAATGATGAAAGGGTTACCAAATAATTCATAAAAGATATTTGTAATTAATTTATTCATATGCTTGTATTAACGAGTGAAAGTTTTTACTGAAGCTTTGTACATTCAAATTTTTCCACCGTTTTTTAGACACATACATACAATTGTTATTAAGACACATGATATATTTAATATTGCAAACTTTGTTGTGCGTAACTATGCGAAAACTATCGTGACAATAATGTACGTTAATAATACATAACAAACGCTATATTTTCTCAATGACTTTTATTAAATATTAATAATATACAATACATGAAGAAGGATAATATTAGGCCGACATGTTTTCTTCAATCCAAGGGAGATAAGAAAGGACAGTAGTGAATACATCTGGATAACCTTCGGCACACGGTACTCCACGAGATACCACACCAACGATACATCCATCGCTGATTCGAATCACTCCGCTACCACTGTCACCCTGCAAAAAAATGAAGATTATTATACCATCTTTTAATCAAAATTGATAATATCTTGTGCATTATACCGAATAAAACATTGACATTATTTTAAACAGCAGAATTCTAATAATTTTAACATTATCAATTTTATGAATAATTATGACAAAGAGAGACTAATGGGTCATAGAAATCGGCTACTTGGAAAAAATAATATTGTTTTATATATATATAAATTATTCTACAAAAAGGTTAATATATTTATAGGTATTATTCGTGTAATGATACATTGTTGAATGTCATTGTTGAATGTTTCGTGAACATTGCAGTTCACTTCATCAGGGCAAGGAGCTGCCTGATAATGCGTATTATCAGACTGTTCCTCGCCCTGATGAACTGCAAATGTTCACGAAACATTGGCATTCAACAATATACTATGACATGGATAATACTCATAAATACATTAATCTTTTTGAAGATAATAACCATCAGTAGAAGCATCAAAAGTATTAATAAATTATTCTTGATATATATTATTCTAAACAGGATATAAAATTATAAGACAAATAATATGTAACTGATTAAGTATAATTAAAAAAATTAAAATAGTTTTAAAATGCATGAAAAACACATATGTACACATATAAAATAGAGAACGTTAAATCTATGAAAATGTGCAACAATGAAATTATTTTAATACTATGATAGGATCGATTACATACATTGCACGCTCCAACTCCTTCTCCGACGAGGGTACAGAATTCGCTCGATGTAATAGTTCCATCGTGATAAATTTGACACTCATCCGAAAGCATGACACGAGCGCCCACCTTCCGCAAATCCTTATGTACGTTTTTCTGGTAACCTTTAGATCCCCAAGCTACTATTTCAACTTCGTCACCCTTCGACAAATCCTTTGTTGGCAACTTAACTGGCCTTTGCTTTTCGTTGATCTGGATTTCTTCAGCCAACTAAAAATATTTTATAATAATGAATCAGATTGTAATAGTGATTAGAGTACGAATTATTTAACGATTTTGTATGATTACTGCTTATTGTTAATATAGCAAAAATATAACTAATGTGTTATATTTATGTATTACAAATTTGCTATATATATGTAAATATAATAGTATAACATATGTGCAACTTTAAAATTGTACCTCAAGCATACCAATGTCATAACCACCATCGATTATTACATCATCGGAATATTTGGGATGCTGCTTATATTTTATCACTTTATGATGTTCTCCACCTGAATTGTAGTAGGTTGTACCAGTAACAACGGTCAAAAATTGTTTTAAAAAGGGATTAGAGTTCAGACTGTCTACGCAATGCGCGGCAGTTAGGACATGTTTTTTACTGATTAGGCTACCACCGCAAAAGTGTTGGCCTTTTATTTGTATGGAAACACATTGCGGATGATCCTCTATTTTGGTGGGTGTCCCACCTACTAATTTCTCTGGATCCTCTCCATAAACACCTGTAAAGTGCATTCATGTTATGAATGTATGGTAAAAACAGTACAATGTTATTTGTATCACACTTAAATTTTTTCACAAGTATTTTGATGACACAATAAATCTTGAATATGAAATTGTAGGTCATATCAAGATATTATTACTGATCATTATCAATCAGAATTACTTGTATAATTACAAGCACACATAGCTCACATAGCTTACAAACAATTTTAGCTAACTTTATTCTTTAAAACTTATTTGATTTTGTATTTTTTTTGTGACGTAAGACAGAATCTTATGGAGACAAAATTTGTTTCTAATTTTATAATATCAATATAATAATAGAAATGTAATTGATAAAATTAAATATCACAATCGCGTATTACAAATTATGGAATTTAAATACATATACAATATTTACATGTGCATAAAATTCAAAACATGTTACATTATACTTTTGTATATAAATTTAATCTATAATAATTTAATATTTAATGATATTAATATAACTAATAATTTAACTACTTATAAAAGATTTATTAACGTAATTTAACTAATTATAAAAGATTTATTTATTATGATTAAACTTGTGTGACAATTTGTCTAATAGTTAACTTACCTACAATCGCTAATGCGATCAGAATGCACGCCAATTGTTTCATTGCGTAGCTATCTGTTTCCACACCGTGTCTGACGAATTTTAAAAAAACACAGTGATAGCAAATGGATTTGATACAATTTATATACATATCAATATTTACACAGGTGTATATTAACAGTATACCTAATTTTATTTTGATGAGATTATCTCAGAGATCGCAATTAAATGATGTTGACTTAAAAAGTGATATTACGATATCGTTACATCTCTTTCTAATTAAAAAATCACACATTGTGTTATAAATAATACTGTTAAACAAAAACGTAAATGTTCATCAAAGTAATTTGGATCCTTACAAATGTAATAATTAGATCTTAATAGCGTAAATGAAATATTAATAATCTAAGCAACCTCGATAGCCAAACCTGAAAGGACAGATTATGCGCAAAGTCTGTTATAAATTTCTGCTGTTATAAAGCTAAACAGATTGCTAACAGATTCTGTAATGTCTGCAATGTTAGCAATCTGCTGCCAGAAACCTGACAGAATATGTTGACATTCTGTGCCAGCAGATTGATAGCAGAAATCGAGCAGACCCTGCTGCAATCTGCCGTCAAATTGGCGGCAAAAAGCGAACAGGACCTGCGCGACACAATTTGATGACAGGATCTGCTCAATTTCTGCTGTCAATCTGCTGTCACAGAATGTCAACAGGTTCTATCAACAGAATAAGCAGAATGAGATCTCAGATGAAGTCAGTCTGCTAACATTTTCTGATTAAATCTGTTGCCAGTTTGCTAACATTTTGCTAACATTTTGCTGACTGGGAAGTTACGTAGCTATTAAATGCATTACATATTAAGTCCATGAAAGTTTATAAGACAAATGTAAATTTGATATGGTCTTTTATCTTTATGATAGACTTAAATTTATGAAATTAACATCTTAAATCAATGATATTTGTTAT